ATTTGACATAAGTAATTTGAGTTACGAGCTCTGTCACGGAACGAATTAAACTCGTAAGTCAAGGCCCCACTGTACTGGGAAGAGCCCCTTTCATGAGGGCCACACCATGAGGTTTAAGTGGGGCCTCTGACCGCATCAGCCCCCACCACACGCCAGCTGCAGTGGCCTTTCAGTTTCCCGAAGCAGCTAGACCAGCTCCGCTCCCCCCTCTGCCTGGAATGTCGTTGCTTCAGATGGCGGGAGCCTCGTCCTCGGGTCTCAGTTTGAATGTCAGCGGAGGCCTTCCCAGACCACCCGACTGAAAGCCGGTCTCCACTCACTGTCCCTCCCACCGCTGGCTCGGCTGTGCCCTGACCAACCTGGGCCTGTCTCCCTGACCAGAAGGCAGCCACATACTGGGAAGAGCCCCTTTCATGAGGGCCACGCCATGAGGTTTCCAGAAGCACCTAGACCAGCTCCGCTCCCCCCTCTGCCTGGAATGTCCTTGCTTCAGATGGCGGGAGCCTCGTCCTCATCCTCGGGTCTCAGTTTGAATGTCAGCAGAGGCCTTCCCAGACCACCCGACTGAAAGCCAGTCCCCGCTCACTGTCCCTCCCACCGCTGGCTCAGCTGCGCCCTGACCAACCTGGGCCTGTCTCCCTGACCAGAAGGCAGCTTCCCTGAGAGCAGCCCGCCCTCGGGAACTGCTGAGGACCAAGCCCTAGGCAGGCCCTTGAGTGTTTGCTTGAGTTTGGTTTTTGTGCAGCGTGAGCTTCCGGACACGCAGTGGGCGGGCTCTTCCTCTGCAGGTTCCAGGTGCCCGTGGACGAGGAGTCAGAGCAGCTCCAAGACCTGGGTGACGACAGCACGAACGACGAGGCCCAGGCCAGGTACAGCTCGTCTTCCCGCCCTGGGCGGCGAACAGCTCATTCCAGAGACAGTGTGACCGGGGAGACAGACCCCGGATTCCTTTCCCCTCCGGTCCCCTCTAAGGCCTTAGTGGGGCCTCAATTTGTAAAATATGGGTCAGAGAGGTTTGTAATCTGACAGGGACTCGGGGATGACAGATGTGACCTTGAGAGACGTGACCCACGTTTTCTAACCATGGTGGCTGCCAGGCTCTGACACCACCGAGAGCCACCAGCACTTTGGACTGGCTCCTGGGCACTCACGCAACGCGGCTCACGCCCACGTGAGCAGTGAGTGAGGACCATCTGTGGGAGCACTGCTGTCATTGGAGCCATGGTGTTTGTAAAACACGGCCGGAGGGAGACGAGAGCGCAGTAAGACAGCCACTGTCACAGCGGGCTCTCCGCACTTCCCTCTGGGTGAGATGAGCTAGTCAGGGGGACGGGGCGGAGAGCGGAGGTGCAGGGTCAGAGCTGTGAGAGCCCAAAGCCCTGGCAGGTCTGCTGCTATGGCTGGAGACAAGGCACGCACATGCACATGCACACACACACACATGCACACACACACACACACACACACACACACACACACACACACCAGGCTCCACGGTTAGCTCCGATGCTTCAGGCGAGTGAACCGCCCTCCTGCTGAGAGAGCCAAGCTGATGTCTGGGCTACTGCCTCTCATCAGAAATGAAATAGCCCTGAAGGAGGCCACCGCTCTGGCTCTGATGACGCGGTCACCGTGCCTTCCAGAAAGGCCTCCTGTTCCAAAAGCCTGGGCCGGGTGGACGCCAGTGCTGGGCCCGGTGAAGCGGGGCGGCGGGTGGCACCACAGGCTAGAACACACGTTCATGATCCTGTAGGAGTGACCCAGTGTGTGGGGCGGACAAGAGGGAGACCTCGGAGCCGAGAGGAAACAGCCGGACCCCGCACAGCCTCACGGAAGAGCCTCCCCTGCAGAGCAAAGATCCTCATGGACCCAAAGCGAGAAACGGGGGTGACGTCCCCCCACGGAGGGAGCGCCCCACCTAGCAGATGGGGCTGGCCCAGGAGCGTGGGCCTGTCACGAGCAAGCCCGGGCCTGTAAGAAAAGCGCGCTCCCACCATGACGTTTCACAGGGGGAAGGGGGATTGCTTATCAGCAGTAAAACCCAGACACGCTCACGGGTCCTCATTTCAGGCTCTGGCTGGGGCTTAGCTTTGCTTTCCCTGCGTTCACGTGGCACAAAGTCTGGGTTCTCATCACGGCGACAGGGGACGAGTCCTAGGCCACATGGTTGTTCAGTGAGGGACCATCCAGCCCAGCAGGTGTGGCTCAGTGGTTGAGCGCCAACCTATGAACCAGGTCACAGTTTGATTCCGGTCAAGGGCACATGCCCAGGTTGTGGGCTCCATCCCCAGTGGGGGGAGTGCAGGAGGCAGCCGATCAGTGATTCTCTCTCATCATTGCTGTTTCTCTCTCTCCCTTCCTCTCTGAGTCAATAATAAATATTTTAAATAAATAAAGGAACACCCAGCCTCAAGCCTGTCCCTGGCCCAGCCCCTCCCCAGGGCCTGTGCTACCCTGTGCCAGGATTACCTGCGTGCCGGGAGGGGTGTGCCACTCTGAACTTAGATAAGGAGACTCCATGCTCACAGGAAGCCAGTTTCTCCGGAGTCACAGCTCCACTGTTGACTGGGTGCCACTGGGAGGTTCCACCCGGCAATCTGAGCGCTGCTCAGCAGAGGGAAACCCTGTGCCCAGCTTCCTCCCTCCCAGGCGAGGGCTGAGCTCCAGAGCAGGTGCTAGGCAGGATGGCCCCACCATAGCTCCTCGGCTCCCTCCCAGGCTGCTGCCTGCACCTGTGCTTGCCTTCTGTTGATTATTAAAGCAGATTCGGCAGCAACTTGTCTCTGGTAGCTTCCCATTCCTACACAGCACCCTTTCTGCAAGAGGAACTTAATGGTCTTTAAATCGGAAAATTGCCCTGGCTGGTGTGCTCAGTGGTTAGAGCATCGGCTTGTGCACCGAAGGGTCCAGGGTTCAATTCCCGGTCAAGGGCACATACCTGAATGGCAGGTTCGATCCCCAGCCGGGGTCGGGGTGTGTGTGGGAAGCAATCAATCAATGTGTCTCTTTTATATCGATGTTTCTCTTTCTCACCCTCCCTTCCATTCTCTAAAAAAAAAAAATCAATGGGAAAAATACCCTTGTGTGAGGACTAACATACATAAAAAAGGAACATTAACCTACATGACCTAAAATTTAAAGTTTTGAGGCAAAATGATGCCCGGAGAGTCACATTTTAAGCAAACGTCCATCTTGCGTCAGGGGTTCAAACAGCCAACGGCTTTTCTGCACCAGCTGGGCTTGCACATCAATATGTTGGTGTCACACAGGAACTGCCAACCCCCCTGGACCCGCCGTTTCAGGGCCTGACGTCCGTGCCAGAGCGGCAAGACCTCGGGAGCCTGCAGGGAGGGAGCGCCTGGCATCACAAACGGCTTGGAGGCGGGAGTTCAGAACTGAGTCAAGAATACACCTGCCTGATGCTGCAGGTCCTCTCGTTCCTCAGCCGGATCGGTGACCTGGGAGCTGCCGCATCCCTCACCATCACACCGCTCTTCGTAGTGAAACCGAGTACAGTTTTATTTCAGATTTGGAAAGAATATCAGTATCTGTGAACGAAAACCCAATTTAAAATACTTAAACAAACATTTCTGCATGTAGAAAGTAGAATAATTACTCCATGAAGTTATCCTCCTCACTTTGCCGGTTCCCCAGAGCGGCTGCCGGTGGCCGGGCCGGGGATGGCCAGTGCCCCAGGCCGGCAAGCTCTCAGAGCGGGGCCCAGGGAGCAGGTCCCACCGCGCGGCAATGCTGAGGGTGCCCACCCTCGCAAGTCTCTACAGAAGCAAAAACGGTGGGAGATGGCAGCTAAGGCAGTAGGAAAGTGCAGAGAAGGGACAGTGGTTAGGTCACTGCACCCGTTATGGAGGGACTGTTACCAAGATGAGCTGTGGCTGAGACCTCACTGAGCCGCATCTATTGATGCAATGTATTAGCTTAGGAATACTTCCCCTATCGGTCATCACCGAGTGCTGAATGTTACATTGACTCTTACCAGCTCACACCAGGAGGGGCGGTAGGGTCTCGGCCTTTTGCTTCCTGCCCAGCTGGCTCCCTCCCTTGGCTGTAAGCTGCCACGCACAGCCCTGCAGATCCTGTGTAAGGGCTCCGTCCACGGCTTCCAGGCAGCGTGGCTCTGCTCAGTGCCCGTGTTCCCCTTAAGAAGCCGCAATGGCACGAGAAATCTCCTGGCGGTTTCGTTCGAGGGCACTGGAGATGGCCTTGGCCCAGGAAGCTGGGGGAGTACCCAGAGAGCCCGCACCTCATTAACCCGATTCCCTGCCCGGCAGGCCATCGCTGCTAAATTTGTCCGGTTAAAAATAACCTGAAGAGCCAGGACCAGATGAAAGCCAGCCCCTTGCCAAACCCTGTCCCTCACCGGTTCATCTTCTATCCCGAAGTCATCGCGGCCTCTGCCCTGGGACTGACTGCAAAGGAGGGCGCGATGTTCTCCCTGCCCCTCCCCGACCGGCAGGAAGGCGGGCTCTGAACTCCGGGCAGGGGGAGGAAGAACAGATCATCACACCTGACACCTCACAAAGCCCGGGGCCCTCAGAGCTGCTCCCCAGCTGCTAAGGAGACAAATCCATGGCCCGGAAGGGACCTTAGATCTGGGTCCACACTGGCTCCACGCAGCAAGAAGTTTCCCTCAAAGAGCTGGGGGTGGCTGCCCCCACCCCCACCCTCCATCCTGCAGTCCTACTAAGTGGAGCTGATCTCACGGAGCGCGGTCTGGGGAGCAAGGTTGGCTCAAGCCAGCAGTGGCCTTGGCCAGTCTGACTGCACAGCCCTCCCGGGGCCCAGGGCGGGTCCTGGGTCTCACCCCAGCAGTCAGCGACCCCGCACGCCTCTTTGGTATATGATGACGAAATGATCAATTAGGCCGTGAAATCTAGAAATTAATACTATTTGAGTTGGTAAAATGCTCTTTTGCACACATTTCCGGCATCTGGTACAGTTAACCGAATGTCCATTTTTGCACAACTCTCACACAGTACAGATTCCACAATGTCCTCTAAGCATTAAAAACGTTTGACGTTCTTCTGAGTCTTCACACCCCTGTGAGGTAGGCGGTATTGACCCCATTCTACAGATGGGGAGTCTAGGCACGGAAAGGTAGTGGCTCCTCGGAGGCCGCAGGTCTGCGCTCCGCCGCGGTCCCAGCGCCGCCGCCGCCCTGCGCGGAAGGATCTCACAGACCACGCTCCTGTCTCGTCCGGAACTAAACGAGGGTCTTTACAGCTCATGTTTGACTCCTACAGCCAACCACTCTCCCTGAACTGGAAAGACAGAAACAGGACTAACTCTCAGTCGGGACTGCTTGCTCTAGGTAAGACTTTCACGAGTCGCCTTGCATTGTGCAGCTGTGCGAGCGCTCACACCCCTTTGGAAGACAGTTTGAAGTGGCATCAGGGACGATGAAATTTTGAGAACAGAACATAGAAATCAAGTTAATAGATTTGAATCAAAACACAAAACTACACGCTATGGTTAAAAAATAGAACCCAAATCGATGGAGGGCAGTACTTCCCAGTGTCTGACAAGGCCTCGCACAGAGCAGGCGTCCAGGAACCCTTTCTTGGACAAAGGACTAAGGACACATCTCGGACATGCCTGCCACTGATGACAGCCCCATTGGGGGAGGGCAGGGGCAGGCCAGGAGGCCATGCGGGGGGGGGCTCCCTGGTAACACAAAGCCAATTGGCCAGGTGTGGATGCTTCCTTTGTGCCAAATAGGAGTTGGGGCTGTAAACACCGAGCCCCTCTGCACTCACACTGCCATTCATAAAAACAGGTGTGTCAATAGGATAAATACATGGAGAGCCTTATCAGGAAGTGGCTTAAAACTGGATAGATGCTCATGCGCCCACGGAGGATGGGAATGAGGTGGTTAGGGGTGGTTTCGGTTAAAATGTATCTCTAACGCTAGAAAGCCCTGGTGCCCACGCCCCTTCCTGCAGAAGAAACCTGATTCCGAGTAATGAGTCCATCTGGCCCGGGGGCGGGGCTTGGTTACAGCCCAAATGCAGCGAGGCCTCCTGCGGCCAGGCCCGCCCAGCGCTGCCGGTAATGCTGTTATCCGCTCCTTGTTCATCTTTCATCCCCATCCCAGCTCTCGATTCAGCCCAAGAACAGACGCTCCGGGAAGTTGGGGGAGGGGGCCTTTGGTCCTAAGGCCTCTGACCTTTGGTCTTGAGGGATGTTCCCAAAGAGGAAATGGTGAGTATAAAGTGATTAAGAGAATCCATCCTGCAGAGTGGCCCACCGAGGCCGTCTTGTCCCGGGCTGCGCGGAGTGGGAGGCGCCGCGCCCCGGGGGTCATAGCTCCACCTTGACCCCTTTTATGAAGGGCAGGCCCGTGGGCACCCGCTTCTTGTACTCCAGGTACTCCTCCCCGAAGAAGTGGATCAGCGAGATCTCCTCCTCTTCCGTCCGGTCGCGGAAGAAGCGCCACACCGTCAGCGCGTAGCCCACGCCGCAGATGGGGTTGCAGAGCATCACCTGGTGGGGACACGAGGCTGATCAGGGTCAGAGGGACGGACACGGTGGACACGAGCGGCACCTGCCTCTGTCAGATCCACAGGACTCCCCGCCAAGGGCCCGAGAGACCCTCCAAATAAATTAGATGAGGTGTCCAGCCGGCATGGCTGTCGTTGAACATCGACCTATGAACCAGGAGGTCACGATTGGATTCCTGGTCAAGGGCACACGTCAGGGTTGCAGGCTCATCCCCAGTAGGGGGCGTGCAGGAGGCAGCCGATCCATGATTCTCTCTCATTGATGTTTCTATCTCTCTCTCTCTCCCTCTCCCTTCCTCTCTAAAAATCAGTAGAAATATATATATTTTTAAATAAATAAAGAGGACCAACAACCTTGCAAATACACTGAAACCCACTGAATAGTACACTTTGAACTGGTGGATTTTATAGGTACGGGAATTATATGTCAAATAAAAAAATATTTGAAGAAAACTTAAAGGAGGGTTACCTCTGATACTTTACCTGGGTTCCGATACTCCAGTAAAACCACCCCACGTAAGAAGGGTGCCGGAACCAGGCATACACCCCGCTCGTCACCAGAGTGTGGGTTTCTGACTTTTCGTTCTGCACCACGTGGTTGAAGTTGGAACCAGCCGTAAACATCGCCGCTTTCCTCAGACACTCTCCGAAGACCACCATCAACAGGCCCGTGGTGCTGAGCCAGGTGACCTGCTTCAGTTCTGCAGGGGACACGTGACAAG